TTCAATCCCCTACAGTGAATAAGAAACACCAAGTGAAGACAGCAGGGAGGGGTGCTCTCTGGAAGGGGAATGGCATGGGGGAGGACACCAGGCATAGGATGGCTTCTGGTTTAGGGAGACCACAATGTAGTCCTCCTAGGTCATGAACGTGAAGGAGGTGAAAGGTAGTCACGGTGAGGGGCAGACTGGACACCAGGTAGTTTAATCACTATGTCACAGTGGTTCAGGTAAAGATGCTGAGGTCGTGTACGAGGATTAGAGACAGGCTGAACGCATTTGAGAGAGAGCCCTGATTAGCAGGGCTTAGGGAAGGAGTAAAGATGGTGGGAGAAGAGGGAAGATGATGGCTGGATTTCTGGTTTGGCAGTTGACTATGTGGGGACCCAATTAATAGAGGTTAGCAATAAGGAGGAAGATAAGGTCATTGTGGGGGTATGTATTACGGGGCAGGAGGTACAGGAGATGATTTATGTAACTTTGGACATATAGGTTTTACAGATGCCCAGAGTGGATGCCCAGGAGACAGTTGAGATATGAAGCTGAAGGCTAGTTAATATGAAGACGGCTGCATCAGCCTGCAGGGGTCACAGACCATAATGGGATGAAATAACTTTAGAAGAGCTCAAAGGGGGACAGGGGGCTAAGGACAGAGTTCTGGGTGGTGCTGATGGGCATGGAGTGGTGAAGGCCACTAACCAGGAAGGGGCCACCTGTAGGGAAGGAGAAGAGCTCAAAAAGCTCCTAGGATTCCTGGGAGCAAAGTGTTGATGGTTCAAGAGGGAGGAAATGTTCACAGGACCTGACGTAGGAGAGAGCCAGAAAATTCATAGCTGATATCCCTAGAAGTCATCAGCAAACTCTGCAAGTTCCTGAAGTGTGGTAGAAGGAGAAAGGGAGGCACAGACTCTTCCTCTGAAGTGGACTGTGAAGAATGAATGCTTCTCAGGTGACAGGTCAGGAGCTTACTAGAAAAGATAGTCTTCCTGGTAAACCACCAGCTGGAGTTGCTGAGGTGTGCTCCATAACACATGTCACAGAGTGCCCGGGGGTGGAGGGGGCTGTGGGTGCCCTAGGCAGCTGCCCTCACTTCCCAGGCACTGTACTCCGCTAGGCGTGAGTGTTTTGCTTGGTCATTTAACCCCTACAACAGTGAGGTGAGTATTATGCTTATTATACAGAAAAGAACCCGGGCTTGAAGAATTCAAGGACCCTTGACTCCAGGGCACATAACCATTAGGTGGTGGAGCTGGATACAAACTGAGGCTGTCGTAACTCCCCAACCAGGGCCCTTCCCAGCAGGATGCCAGCTCTCGCACAGGTTTGATTCCACTGACATCAGAGGTCCTGGAAGAGATTTCTCAGCTAGGAAACCCACCCCCACCTTCCAGTGACCAAATGCAGTTGCTGCTTCATAAACAGAGGCAATTCTCAATGTACCCAGTGACCTTGGAGATTTGTTCTCCCGCTTATAGCCCCCAAAGGTGCAAGTTACCCCTGTCTTCACATAGTTAAATTCAGCTCTTTCCCTTTGTGCTCTCCACATTTCGAAGACTCCAGTTATGTAGCAATGGCTTCTAAATTCTTGTACATATCAGAAGCTATTTGACAACACACCTTCTGGGTGCCCTTCCAGACTTATTTAAAAAAAATCTCTGTAGGTGTGGTCCTCCAATCTGTATCTTGGGAAAAAAAAGAAAAACAACTTCTTAGGGGATTCTGGTGTGCTCCCGATCTGGCAGTCATTTGATACCTACCACTGCTGTACAATAGCTTGTCAACAGTGAGATTATGTTGTGGTTATCTGTTGACACCTTAATGGGCAGGATTTTTAAAAATCCTTTACGCCATTGGTTCTGAGATTTATTAAGGCAATATATGGACTCTTTTCTTTGTATTAGGACAGTAACTCCCTCACCCTTTACTCTCTTGTTGCAGCAAGAGTAAAGTCTGTGCAGCTCGTTTAAGCTTGCCTGATTTGCAAAGCTCATTTTGGGAAAAGATAAAGGGTATTAGGATTGCCAATGTGGGAGCGGAGTGACCTGGAGCTGTGGCTCTCCAGGATGTGGGCAGCGTTGGCCCGACTGAGTGTTGATCGGTGCCCTCTAGTGGTCGGAACTATTCAGCAACCCCAACAAGGACTGACCCCCTGGGGAACCTCTGGCCTAGAAAAAAACAGGAGTTAAGCCTTGGACTTGCTGTTGG